AATTGATGAAAAATGTTATTTCAAAGCATATTATTATGTTATAGTAGTCTTGCGTTCATTTAAGTATGTTTCAAATCATTCGTGAAATGGCAGGATGCTTAATCATTCATTTCTTAACTCATATGTATTCATTTCAACTCCTAAGTCTTATACATTAGCTAACATATGTTATATCGTCATGTTCTTAGCTCATGACATGCATTCATAGCTCACAAGGTCATATACATGCATGGAAGCAAGGTAATTGATTCATTCCAGCTCAATTCCTTTGAATTACCTTTTTTCTTTGCACATGTAGGAACATGGAAGTATGGCACACATTGGGACAGCTTATTAGATTATTTAGAATTCCTATGCAGCTCACAATTAGCTCAAAAGCATCATGGCAGCTCATGGGAAGCTCAAGTCAGCTGGAGGAGCTCAAGGCTACCTAAACTCAGCTAGGTGGAATATTTGAAGCTAAGTTGATAAACTTGACCAAGTGACCAGATGAAGGCAGCTAGAAGAGATGCTAAGGAACAAAGGAGAACTCTGTTGGAACAACAATTCATAACAGCTCACTTGCTTGCTAGCTACATACACGCCTATGCTAGCTAGGGGGAGAACTCACACACGCCTAAGGAGATGCACATGACCAGCCTTCATCCCATGCACAAGGTTGCACCACAAGCATCCCTAATACTCCCATGTGTATGCCAATGTGATCAGCAAGTATGTGCAAAGCATGTGACTCTCCTATGCGCGTCAAACACTAAGGGACTTCACCATTCGGCCAAGACACCTATCTATTCACTTTGGCGCCAACTTGAAGGGGTTCAAGCATTATTTGGCCAAGGATTAAGACTTCCCATGTTAACCGAACTAACACCTATGTTTCTATTTTAATTATTCAATTAATTATGTATTTTTAAATAGACACAAGGGTTGGCTGAACCTTTAGGTACCCATTCGGCTATGTATCTTCAAAAATTATAAATAGGCTAGTCCTATTCATTTGTAAACACACTTTTTTTTATTAATCAAAGTGATATTATTCTCTTTTCTCAAATCCTTGTGACTTTTATCGACTTATCAAGTAAATCCTTACTTGTGGCATCAACCTTTATACATTGATATTTGTGGTTCCTATCTCTTTATAGATAGTGGGTCCAAGTCCTTTGTTACCATCCCTTATAGAGATTTGTAAGGTTGGGTCTTTGTTCATTGTAGCACTGGTTCTTCCTTGGTCTTTCTAAGATACCATCCTCACCAACCATCCTTTCTTTCATAAGCCATACTATAGCCCATATCAAACATATTTCCGCTACCAATCTCATAACATAAATAGCCATCCACTTCACCTTTACATCAACTACCAAGCCATCTATTTGAGTCATTCAATTATGCAAGATGTTTTGCTTCCTTCCTAGATCCAAAATCGATTATAAATCCATAATGTCATAATTTCAATGAGAAGTTAAATTCTCTTAAATTTTCATCTCAACTTTTCTATTTCATTTAGTATAGTCCTTTTCAACATTTAATCCTAAATTCAAGCATCCTAAAACAAATTCAAATATTCAAACAACATGTTTAATTACTATTTCTTAACTTATACCAATTTTCTATTTCAAAACCCATAACTTATATACTTTATAATTTAGTCCTCAATCTTAACAATTTTACAAATTTAACTTCAATTCAATCTTTAATTAATAGAGCCAAAATTTCTAGGATTTTAAATAAAACATAATACCTCAATAATTTCACAATTTTCATTTAAGTCCCTACTTTATCTGTAATTTATTATTTAGTTCCCAAAATATATCAAATTTCTAAATTATTCTAATTTCACACTCTGGCATCCAAATTCAACATTCTTACTTTTAAACTCCAGCATATTACATCATCTATTTAATAATTGCACTTCAATCCCTAACTTTTCCAAAAATTTCTAGTGTGTCCTTATAATTTCTCAAATTTTCAATTTAATCCAAATCACCATCTAAACATCAAATTTAGCACTCCAACTTTTAATTTCAACATAATTCACACTTATTAAACAAGTGCACATAAATCTCCATTTTTCTCATTTTATAATATTAAGTCCCTATAATTTCACAATTTTCTAATTTAATTCAAATCATATTCTAGGTATGTAGAGTCAGTCATACTTCATTTCTAAATTTTGCATAATTGTTACCACATATTTTACTTATTTCTTTCCCTTGGTCGAATATTTATATGTTTTCCTAGCATGGATTATATTTTGATTCAAGAATTAATTCTTACTCTAGACAACATTTCCATGAAATTATCACCATTTTATCATACGTTAAATGTCATAGTTATCATGTTAAGATAATAAAGTTGGCTCATTTCAAACAATTAAGATAGTATATAATATAAAAATACCACAAAACACATAATTTACCTCAATTTCATATTTTGGCAGTTTGCACTACTCTCAAAGAAATATGATTATGTACTAATAGAGACACTTAAAAAATTATTCCGTTTGAACCATTAAAAACTAGACTCAAATACAAATCTAATCATATAAGGCACTTCTTCTAGTTCAACTTGTACAATTTATGGCAATTTTTCTAATCCAACTTACAAAATTTGTTTTAAATAGAATTTGCTGCTCAAATTTCTTACCTTTCATCGGTTAAAAAATTCATATATTTTTACACTTCCAAATCAGTATTTGTTATTTTAAATAAAACTAGACTGATAAGAATCCAATACTATAAAAAGAATCTTTTAATCACTCTTTTAGAATTTATGGTGAATTTATAAACTTATTGTTCATTACCAATTTAGGCAGATTTTACTAGTTTGAATTTATTATCTTATTCATTAACTCTATTAGCTTATCAAGGGAAAAATATGTATAAATTGAAGTTCCGATCATTATTTCCATGCAATCTCAATCATTTCATAAACCTTAACCTTTACCAAATTCATCTTCAAACATTTTCATTTGATTTTAATCATTTTTCAAGCTTATAATCAACTCTATAATATTAACAACACAACAATCTATCCTTAAATCATTAAAATTCAACTTATTCATCATCCACTCTAACAATCAAACCAATGATTCGAGATGGAAATAATGAAATATTAACACCAATTTATAGAGAATTTAATATAGATAATTTTTATATTTTATAACATAATCCAAAAGGACTAAAATGGAGAAAAAGAAAGAAAACATACCTTGGTTTCCTTTCTTCCATAGCTCACGTCGATATATAGGAGAAGAAAGCAAATTTCTAGATATATCTCCTAATATATTAATGGACACTTGTATACTTTTTAATTAAAATGAATTTAAAATTCATTTTAATCCAAAAGACACTTCTACCCTTAATGAATCAAGATATCTACCATTTTGCCATGCTTTCATCAACATACTTACATCATCATATCAATATAAAAATTATACTTATTATTTCCATCCTTACCCTTACACTTTTTCAAAATTTCGATTTAGTAACTAAAATTCACTATTTCACTTTAACATGGAAAATCCACTTAACTCCACTATTCTATATTAAATTATACTGATTAAAAATATAATTATAATATTTCTAATCCTATACTACCCTTCTTAAAATTTTTATAAACTTTCTATTCAATCTGACTATTTGAATACTTTACCAAATTTTATCACTTACTAGCTCTTTATACAAATTTCATATCGAAATCTGAATTCCATAGAGGATCGATTCTTAAATGTGAACTATTTATTCATGGAATAAAATTTCTTTTTAGAAAAATTACCTCTTTGGTCCTTAAACTTTTCCAAGTTTCTACTTTGGCCACTAATCTTTCAAAAATTACATTATAGTCAGTAATCAAATTTTTGGGGGTATTACAATATCGATATCAAAGGTAAGGAAAGTATCGATACTCCCAAGGCAGTATCGATATTGCCTATTGGTTTTAAAGTTCAGATTCCAGTATGCATTTTTGGTACTGATATTATGCAAGTATCGATCTCCCTGTTCAACGGCCATAAACGCTAGTTTTTATTAGAGAGTACCAATACTCCCAGCCCGAGTAATGATACTCCCAGTTCTAGACAGTTTTGTTTTGCAGAGAAATTATCTCCAGTGGCTAGAAACGTCCACAAACACATTCCAACATATAAAAAAAGTTTGAGACACTTGAAAAAGGTTACACAACACCTATCCAATAATTTATCATCAAGATAAAAGCTTTTTCACTCTTTATCTTTCTTTTATCTTGTACATAATGTTTTTGTGAGCTTAATTGTGTAAACATCTTCCTTTAAGAGGTTTCTTGTTTACAATCTTTTATCTTTTGTCAAAGGTGTTTTGGTTATATCTTAGTCATTGAAAATATAGGGAAATTGTAAATGTTACTCTTGAGCTTAGAAAAAGAAAGAACAAATTAGTGAATTTATTAGAAATCCTTAGTGAGGAGCTAAGGTAGTAGATGTTTACTTCATTAAGGGAGTTGTACCACGATAAATCTTTTTACAATTCTTTCCTATCCTTTCTCCTTATTTCCCTAAAATTTTAAAAAGTCAATTCACCCCCTCTTGACACATTTCGATTGTTATGAGAGCTCAACAAAGAATCATAATGATCAAGCGTTGTTCCTGCAACAATGGCTCTAACTTCTTCCTTAACTCCTATAATCCCTACATTTCAACTCAATAAGACAGTACATATAATTATTCTTTTTTTGTGCTCCAATTCTAAGTAGGGGTGTACAAAAAAAACTGATCCAATCGATCTGATTCATTTATCCGATAAAAAAATTCGGATATTCGATCCGTTTTTCAATTTTCAGATAGTTCGGATCGGATATCCTAATTTTTTTCAGATTTTCGAATCGGATACGGATCGATAAAAAATCATATTTGGATTATCCAAAAACCCCCCCAAAAAATGGACTATATTAGTAGGTTTCAAACCCAAAGAAGTGCAGGTATTAGTTTAGCTGTTGTTATTAACAACAGAGAAAGATTAAAATACAATAAAAGGGGAAAACATAAAGCTTCTTTCTTTCTCTTTCTCTAATCAAGTTTCTTCTTCGATTTCTTCCGACTCTTTCAAGTTAGAAATTTTGGCTAGAAATTCTTCGCCTCTTCTCTCCGTTGCCGCCTCTAAAGGTAAAATTTTTACTTTTTTGTTGTTGTTGTTGAACTAACTTTTTATTCATCAGAAATCATTTATTTATTTTTATTCTCCCCATTATCTATTCGGCTCTTCTCTAAATAGGGTTTATGAAATTGTTACGAACTTTTGTTTCCCGTTGTTTTATGAATTGTTTCATCGTTTATTGTTATTCAAGTTAATTAGGGATTGATCTTGGATTTTTTTAATCTGAACTTGATTGCGATTTAGGTTAAACGTTTAGGTTTCCTTGTTAGCTTCTGATGGTTTTGTGTTGGATTGCCTTTATGGAAGATGTCAAAAATACGAATATTGGAAATTCGAGTTCTTTAGTGTCTTCTTTATGGTGATTTTCATTACTTTTCTTATATTCTGTTTTTGGATAATCTGGGCATGTGGCTCTAAGAGGCTACTTATTATAATAAACTGTCTGAGCCTCTTGAGCCATGCTCTGTTTGCATGTCATCATTTTCCTATCTTTCGTTTTCCTTCTTTAATTGTACATCGTCTGCTAATGCATACACCTTCTATTATGAGCTGTATGGTTGTAATGCATGTATAGAAAGCTGCTAAATTGTTATCCTGAGCTAACTTATGAATTTGTTTCAACCGAAAATATTATTTCGGAATCTTTTTTACTTCTCAACATGATCTTCAGCATCTACTTATAATACTTGTCAGATAATAACGATAACCATCTTGACAATACTTTTTATGAAGCTTTATACTGAGCTCGTTATGGTCTTAGTCTTATTAATGTTTAGTGTATTTGTATATAATTTCCCTAAATATGGAGATAGCTTAATTGTTTGTGTTCCACCTTGCTTATTTCACATTTCTGTTTGGCATGATTAGTGAGGATATATTCACTTTTCTTGTTCGTGCTTGTTAACGCTTGATTCTATTTATGTTATTATGTTACATGTTTTTTTCTGGCTTGTAAGTTGATTTTTTTCTCCTTTATTTTCAGTAAGTTACTGTAATTTCTGTTTAAAGATGATGAGCCAAAACCCTAACCAATATCCATTTCAATCTCATGTAAGGGCTATATTTTTTTTGGGTAAATAACAAAACAAACTAATCTAGTAAACTAATTTATAAAAAATGAAATGTAATGAATACATTTTGTAATATATTTTATTCTTGTTTACAGAATATGTCATCTTTTGATGAGAATGGAGATCTTAATTCCGTATTTGTTGACTCGATGATGGAGTCTGATGAGGAGGGAAGACAAAATTTAGCAGCAAAAAAAGCTTCTCTCGATAAAAATGCCAGAAAGAGGAAGAGAAAGTCCAAGTGGTGGAGTCATTTTTCAGTTGATGAGGAGGATCCCACTTTTGCTTCCTGTAAGTATTGTCATAAACTTATTGGTTGTAAAACCAAAAATGGCACTACACCTTTAGAAAATCACATTAGTAGGTGCAAAAAATATCCTCCAAATTTGGATAAGAAACAAAAATTGATTGATTTTGAAAGTGAAACATTGATAAATGAAGATGGAAGTACTGAAACAGTTAGTGTACCAAAATGTTGGAAATTTTATCATGATTTGTGTAGGAAGAAGCTTGCTAAAATGCTTATTTTGGATGAATTGCCTTTTGCTTTTGTCGAACGTGAAGGTTTCATTGAATTCTGCAAGGCTTTAAATCCTGTCTTTAAGCTTCCTTCTCGTACAACTGCCACTAGAGATTGTTATGCTCTTTTTATTGAACAAAGAAATGAGTTGAAAAAGACTTTTAAGAACTTAAATTCTAGGGTTTGTCTAACCACAAACACTTGGACATCGGGTCAAAATTTAAGCTATATGTGTTTGACAGCCCATTTTATTGTTGATGAATGGAATTTGTATAAGAGGATAATTAATTTTCGTTCAATTGTTGGTCATTCGGACAACTTATTGGTAGAGCTGTTGAAAAATGCTTGATTGAATGGGGTTGGAAAAACATTATGACTGTAACGTATACAATACTAGCTCAAATGATTTAACAATTGAATAATTGAGAAGAAGACTTACCATTTGGGAATCTAGTTTATTGGAGGGTCGATATTTACATATGATATGTGCATCCCACATTTTGAATTTGATTGTGAAAGAGGGTTTGAAAGAACTTGATTTGTCCATTATGAAATTTCAAACTCTTGTGATATATGTTAAATCTTCTCCCTCTAGACTTCAAAATTTTAAAACTTGCATAGAATAGGAGAAAGAGGATAGAAAAAGTTTGGTTACTTTATATGTTGAGACTATATGGAATTCAACTTTCCTAATGCTCGAATCTGCTATCATGTTTAAAAAGGCATTTTCTAGTTTATACATGAAAGACTCTTCTTGTTTCAAGGAACTTAGAAAGGTTGGTGGTGGTCCCATTGAAGATGATTGGAAGAGGGTGAGTAGTTTTTTACCTTTCTTGAGCATTTTTTATGAAGCAACATTGAGGTTATCTGGTTCTCGTTATGTGACTTGAAACCATTATGCACATGAGATTTACGGGACTAGATTAATGATTTACAACATAAGTGATGATGATGAGTGTATTAAGAAAATGGCAGCCCAAATGAAGTTTAAGTATGAAAAGTATTATGGGAACATTGATAATATCAATATTATGATGTTTGTGGCTGTGATCCTTGACCCTAGGCACAAGTTGAATTATGTTAATTGGACTGTGCATGATTCTTATGATGAAACACAAGCCACTCTTTTGTGCCTCAAAATTAAGATGGTCTTGCAATCTTTATTTGACTCATATGCTTCTTCAATGCCTCCTTCAAAGACAAGTGATATGTCTTCCTCCACTTCTACTTCTTTATCTAATTTCACTCAAGGTGGGACTCAAAGTGGAGGTAAGATTGATCTTCAACAACTTATGGCTTCAAAATTTCAAAGGAATACGGGTTGTTTGTTAACTAGTGCCAACAAAAATGAGTTGGATAAGTATTTAGAAGATGCTTGTGAGTCTCATGTTTCAAATTTTGATATCCTACAATGGTGGAAAGATTAACCAAAAAGATACTCGATTCTTCATAGGATGGCTAAAGATGTACTTGTCATACCTATCTCGACTATAGCTTCTGAGTCGGCTTTTAGTATGGGGGTTGTGTCCTTGATCCTTTTCATATTTCATTGACTCCAAAAATGGTTGAAGCGCTTGTTGCACGCAAGATTGGTTACACACCTCTCGGTCACCTATTATAATAGAGGAAAGTTTAATTGCCTTGGAAGAGTTGGAGGAATGTAAGTTTATTTTTACTTTTGATTGCTTCTTTTTTTTGTTTATTCAATATTTAAAGTTCAAACATAAATGTATATTTTAATCTTTTTTATTTTGTTTCGTGTGATGTAGCCATGAAGGATCTAACTTTAGAGCAATCGGAGATCATAATTGACGAGACAATTAATACTTTGGATGATTTGTAATTTTGAAGTACTTAGTGATCCTATTATCTCTTTTATTATGTTGTTAAGACTTGATACTCTTGTGTGGTATTTTATTTTGAACATCTTGTGTTGATTTTATTGTATTGTTGAGATTTGATACTCTTGTGTGGTATTTTTAATGTGAACATCCTGTGTTGATTTGAGACTTGATACTCTTATGTAATACTTTTATTTTACACATCTTGTGTAGGTTTATTGTGTTGTTAATGTACACCCCTACTCTTCATTTCGAGCTTTGTTCAACTTGTCGACAATATCGCTTAACATTGTCCAAGCTCACTGCTGAAATCCTTTGATTCAGAATTTTGTTTTCCTTTTATTGATCCAGTAGAATCTGGCTATTAGTTTCTTTTGTATTGGTCTGTTTGGCTGCTGGAGAAAATGTAGAGAAAGGAAACAATATTAGAAACCTGGACAATTCGATTTTTTGTTATGTTTTCTAAACTTATTGGCCCCAATAGGATGAGATATCTAGGAGTTAAATGGCATTATATTCATTTATTTTCATTTGTCATCTCCTTTTAGGTTATTTCGTAGTACGTAATAATGTAGTTTCAAGACATTATTTATTTCAACATTTTATTTGTCATTAATTCAGTATCACCAAGCATATTTCTATACAACACTGTGCTACGCATGGTAATAATTTTATTTGTTCCGAGTTAGCAATTGAGATTTTTTTAGTCATTTTACATTATTTAATTTTGACAAGGAAAAAATATAACGCATATTTAGAATAAGTATTATACTTTATTTGAATTTTTACTATTTTTCTAATATTAAGTTTAAAATCGGATTTGGATTCGGATATTTGGATATCCGATCTTAAATTTTGGATATCCAAATTTTTGGATATCTAATTTTTTCGGATTGGATACGGATCATTACATCCGATATCCGATAATGCACACCCCTAATTCTAAGACTTTGTCCTGACTAATATGGATTGATCTAGGTCGCACACCTGACACTTCTTCCTGGCTAATCTGGATCAATCCGGGTCGCACACCTGGCCTTGGTGGGTGAGTCTCCCAGCGGAGATTTTCTGCCTACAGAAGAACTCGAAATTGAACCTTGTTTAAGCAATATCAAGTTGCTTACCAATTGAACTGAATTAAGTATAATTTTTCTGGAATTATCATCTCTGACTCATCAAATGAAACTACTATCCAATTCAAATTCCCATGAAATCAGAGAAAAAAAAGTATTTTTTTCTTCCAACCAGTTGATCTTGAATGGCTCTCATACCCAACCATGTCTTTCGAAAGCATTCTTCAAAGTATCATATAAAAGCCCTACAATCTATACAACTCACCGCAAATCAATTTATATAATGGTAAAATTAGTAGAAAGTAGTAAACGCACATTCCCTTTAAATCGGATAAAGAGAAAAAAAAAGAGTAAATTTTTTTGAGATCTAGCCAATGTGTATTTACTAAAAACAAGAACTGTCCCTCGTAGAAGCAAAAGAATCCAATGGTAGCTTTGGGCTTCAGCGGAGAACGGCGGCAGTGGAGCAGCAATCGAGAGGCAGAGCAACAATGGCAAATTTATTTTCGGTAGTGACAGAGGTAGAAGAAAGGGAGTGAGCGGCAGAAACCTTTGAATAAGTAAAGGAGAAAAATGAGAAAGGTGTAAATTGTGTTTGAGATAATACTCAAAAGTCACAGTTTGTAATAACAAACGTCACTATATTTTATTCTATTGCGGGTTTATCTCAAAAACGCCATTAAAGTACGAATCTATAACGGTATTTGTCCAAAAATGCCACTAATATAACTATTTTGTGGCGTTTTGACTATAAATGCCACGATATATGTAAAGTTAGCAGCATTTATAGACCTATTCTGCTGTAAAGCATGTTTATCCGATTTCGTGAAACTTTTACATGTTCTAAAGTTTTATTCTCACGATTAACAATGAATGTTTTTCTATTAAATGTTTATATTGTTTGAATGAATTTAAATTATTGACTAATTTATACTCTAAATTAGCCCTTAGAGAGAAATTATTTAATGAATGCAAGTGTTGATTAAATGAATTAAAATTATTGGTTATAATTATGCTCTAAGGTAACCCTTATAATTATGAGATAAAATTTATTCATGTACATTAGAGCATTATATATGTCTCCTCATTGTATTATTAGATTTATTCTTATCTAGTGACAACTGATATTGATTTGTTTGATGTCCTGATCGATCAGGCCAAAGCTGTTAAGGAGATGATGGATATTGAGCTTGTTCGTGTGATGTCCAGTACATGTAAAAGAATTATTAATTCTTTATCGCAATCTATTCATTTTGCTAAGAAAGGCCACGAGTATTTTGGGTTTAGTGGTGGTTCTAAACGTAATTCTTGACCTAGTCGACCCAAACAAACAAATAATTTGGTGGTTTCTATTATAGGTTTGTCTAAGGTATCGGTTTATCATTATGTGAGCACTTTGAATGTAGAAGGTTAATTGATGGATGCTTCTAATACAATTTCTAAGGAGCGTCAATTGAATGATTGTCTTCAAAGGGTAGAGGTTTCTCTAGTACAAGTTTCTTCTTTTGTTCTGACCCCTAGTTTAGGTCGTGGCCATGTTAAAGGTGGTAATAGTGGTTTTCCGAAGCTTGGGTAGAGAGGAGCTGCTCAGACCGAGTTTAATTGTTCAGTGAGAGTTTATGCACTTCGTAAGCCACATGATCGTATGTCAGTCGATATGATCGCAAGTACCTGCAGTCTTTTTCATTATTCCGTGATGAATCTGAGATCCTTTTATTCTTATAATATAAGTAACCTAGTTGACGGTTGTCGACACCGTTTTTCGGCTAGGTGGGGAAAGAGCGATACCTACTAGGGTTTTTTCTTAGAAAATAATTTTTGAAATATGAGGAGTCACCATTAATCATTTAAGGGGCGATTGGAACACCGTGAAAACGGGGTGATTTTAATAAAATATTTTATTTTTATCAAAATATCGAGTTTTAAGGTTTACGAAAATCCAGAAATAAGGTTCGGGAGTCAGTTATGCATGAGGAAGGATTAGCACCCCCACAAGCGCCCAAAAATTGGTACCTAGTTGATTACCCTATATTTATAATCGAAAATTTTGAGTTCGATCTTTATTTAATTTGAAAATCATTACGGATGCAAAGTTAAAAACGGTATTCATTTATTAAAACTGATAGCATTCGCCCCTAGCATAAACGCAGGAGATTAGCTATTGTGCTCGATAACTGAATATTGTCTCATTTTTAGAAAATCATGATGCGGTTTTGAAAAGGATGTCGACCTATTTCGGGAATCATCAGTAGTCACCCCCTGAGCATACTTGCGGGAGATATACCATTAATTCCCTAATAAGTGAACATTGCCTTAGGTTTGAAAATAAAATGCAATCAAACGAATTTTTATTAATTCTAATTGAGCTAAGGTAAATTATGGGCTTTGTCTAGCTTAAAGTGTCAATTATGAAATTTAAAGGACCTAAAGGCACAAACCTATAAGTGTAGGTTCTAATATTAACCCTATTTGTTTTTTAAACTAATTATTGAATCGAATAACCGAGGTGGACCCTTGACCATTTACGCGAGGGCTGACTCGAATTATTCCCTAAATTAAGGGGGCTATATTGAAAACTAGCTAAAAGTGGAGGCACTATTTAACCTATTTAATTATTTTAATATTAAAGCTCTAATCGAAATTTGGGGACTAAAAAAGTCAAGATCTAAAAATATCGATTTCTAAAAGATTTAAAAGTTTAAGGACCTAAGTCGATAATTTCTAAAGTTGAGGACTAAACGACAACCAAAATTCTAAATGTTATCTAATTTAACTTATTAAAAGGGAATTAAACCTAAAGGTTTTTTTAGAAAATATTAATTATAAATAAATTTTAAAATTCGAGCAATCAATTCGAGTAATTGGAAATCTTATGCAAAAATTCGACTCGAATTGCTCCCTAATTAAACTAGTGTGTCATCCTAATTTGTAAGTTCGATTTAGAAAGTTAACCTAATCTAAAAACTAAATATAAGGATTTGAAATATGAGATAGTGAATCATTTAATAAACTTAATTAAAAAAATAAAACAATAAATAATAAAAAAACATAAAAACACCACATAAAAATAAAAATAAAATGAACATAAATACAAGGACCTAATTGCATAAATATGAAATTGTTAAACTAAAAGGGAATAAATTAAACATAAAATATGACTAAATTAAAATAAATCAAAATTCGAAGGCTAAATCGAAATAAAATAAGAATAAACAAATTAGGGATCAAAATACAAAACACTCATAAACTACAAGAACTTAAAGTAATTATTCATTTTATTTAAGCCTAAAAATAATTTGTTAAATTAAAAAGGATAAATTACAGAATCAATCCACGCAAATTTTAAAAAAATTAAAAGGTCACTACACATTATTAGAATGCAAAAACACGGGTAACTATTAGGGACTAAAAAACAATTTTACCAAATTATATAAAAATAGGCAACAAAAAAATGGAAATTACAATGTCAAACCCTTCAGTACCAGAATGCAAAAACACGTTAAAATACTAGGGACCAAAACGAGAATATCCCCCAAAAAAAGCACACAAATAAATATGAAAAATTATAGAAATGGTCCCCCAAGTGACCATTTTGAAAAAACGTGCTAAAAGTGGGGGGACTAAAAGGCAATTTCCCCCAAGTTAGCTCTATATATACAACATTTTTTCATTTTCACGTAAAACACCAAAAAAAAGGGGGGAGAAGCTCTCCCATCTTCCATCGGCCGACCCACTGCCGTCCACCGCACACGGTGACCGGAAATCCCAAACCAACCCAAAAACATAGTTCTACCCTTCGAACCATTTTTAGTGCTAAAACCACCGAAAAATCTTCTAAAACCCCTCGAAAATCCCCCAAAACACTTCGACTTCCCCGACTCCGACGACCTCAAAAGACCCAGGTAAGCTTCGAACCTACAACCCTTTTATTTTTTTAACATATTTTTACTGTAAAAATGGTTTGGTTGTTGTGTTTATAGGCTAAAAATGAATTTATTTTATTTACTGTTATTAAAAAATGAAGGAGTGTTTTTCGGTGTTCATTCGAAAACAACAACAAAAAACCTTTTTATTTTTACATAGATTCGAACTAGGAACGAAAAAAACGCAAAAGAAACTACTCGAAAGTAAAGAAAAAAGTAACCTTGAAGTGTTGTTTATTTCCTTCAAAAACAGTGTTACAACAGAGTATTTTTTATCAAAAAATCGAGAGATTTTCAGTGTTTTTCATCTGGGTTTTATACCGATTACAAAGGAAAAGAAAAATGATAATTTTTTGCCTTTTTTTTGTTGCTTCTGATGTAGTGGAGTGTTGGTGATGCTTGGCGTGGCGTGTTGGAGTGGCTATCCTTCCGCTGGGGAAGAAGCAATTGATACGGGCTGGGATGCGGTTACTCTAGGATTTTAGATGGATCTCGTATTGGACTTGAGGGTTTATTTGTAATTGGGTTTGGGTTTGGTGTGGCATGGGGCCTGGTTGGGTTTTTGGGTCTGGTTGTTTTAGTTTGGGCTTGATCAGGTTGTAATAAAAATGAAATGAAAATGGTGCTCACAACTGTTTAAGGATTATATTGAAATTGAGTAAGTTGGGTATGGTAGTAACAAGTGCTCTGTGAGATAATGTCCTAGTGAGTAAGGTATATCAGAGATGTCCATTGATGATTCAGAAATGTATCTTTCAAGTTGATTTGATGAAATTTTAATTTTATAGATTGATATTATTTTTAGTAAGAATTGGTTGGTACAACGTTATACTTGTGGATTTTATGATAAAGCATATTACTATAATATATAATGATGGTTTGGAGGTGATAGTAGTTAGTGAAGGACTTGAATTATTCTCTCTTATCGTTTCAGTGCTTAAGACGGATAAGATGCTTAATAAGGGATATACAAATTATATCCTAATTCATGGAGTAAAGAGTTGAAGGTGCAAAATATTCTGACTGTTAAGAAATTTCTTATCGTGTTTCTGAAATTGAGTTTATCATCAGATCAAGAGGTTAAATTTGGTATTGAGGTATTGCCTAATATCAACCTTGTGTTCATTGTAATGCATTATATGATACCTAAGTAATTGAAAGTATTGAAGGTTCAATTGTAAGAATTATTACACAAATGATTCATTCGACCTATTATTTCTCTATGGGGTGTTTTTTTTTTTGTGAAGAGGAAAGATAGTATAATGTAGTTATGTTTTGATTGTCATCGACTGAACAATTTAAATGTGAATTGATTATTTCTTTATATACTCTAAGGAGAGATTATGCTTTCAATGATAAATTTAAGATCGTGATACTATAATTTGAAAGTGAATGACTTGAATATTCTTAAAACAACATTTAGGACATGATATGGACATTATGAATTCCTAATTATGTCATTTGTTTTAACAAATGTTCATGGTGTTTTTATGGATTTAGTGAATCGAGTTTCTCTCTTGTATTTGTTCGTAAATTTTAAAATTTTCTATATCAATCATCAAAACATCAAAATCATTCTATTTGATCATTTTATTAATATGTCTTTAATTTTATTGGTTATTTTTTTTAAAGTTTTAGAAACTGTATATGTGACCTTCTAATAGAATTTTAGTATATTAAAAAAATTATTTTTTCATAAACTCGTGGGTTGAGTTCTTAAGATCTTAAAAATATATTGACTTTTTTAGAAAATCACAAGTAATTTTCATGACCTTGAAAAAAGTAATATAATTGACAACAGGTTAATGGTAATATCAAAATATAATAATAATAATAATAATACTAATAATAATAATAATATAATAATAATAATAATAATAATAATAATAATAATAATAATAATAATAATAATATAAGGATTGATATATAATACTTTAAATTTTAAAAAAATAGTTCAAAATAAAATCATTTAAAGACTAATATAAATTATTTTAAAATTTAAATATCAACCTAAAATAAAAACCATAATTTACTATATTTATCTAGGGGTGAGCAAAATTCGACTCGACACAAAAAATCGAAATTTTCAACTCAACTCTAATTAAATTCAAGTTGCAATTTTATAAACTTAACTCGAGTCGAAGAAATTTCAAATTCAAATCGAGTTGAAAAATGTAACTTGAATAACTCAAACTTTTTTAGTAATTAATGGATTTATTTTCAATTTTGAGTAGTCATTGGACTCTGTATGATATACATATATCATATATGAAAAAATATAAAGAAATATATTTGTATTGTATATATGGTTATAGAAATTCACTTAAATTTGAATAAAATAATATTATAATATTATAAATATTTACAATTAAATTTAAACAGAAACTCAAAAAATCGACTCAACTCGACTCAAAAAAAATTTCAAATAAAGTCCGAGTTGTAAAATAGAACTCATCAACTCGAATAAATAAAAAAAAATTTGACTCGAATCGACCCTTACATTTACCCATAGCACAATAACTTGATTTAGCTATGCCCATCCAACGGCTATTATTTCTTTTCCATCAAGAGATCTGACGGCGAAGATCAACCTTTCTACACGAAATAGGGTTCTTCAAAACCGTCTTACCTATAAATTGATACAGTTACTCGGCCGCCGGCGCGGTGCAGTTCCTTCTGCCCTCCCTTTTTTTCATTAACTGTTTAAAAAAAATCCAAAAACAAATCGGTTACTCTATTTTTTCTCCGTTGCCTCCCCCTTAGGTTCTCCGACGATTCTATACCAATTTATCTCTTCTTCTCTTTTATACCCCATAGTCCCATTTTTGTTTTTGTTTTTGTTTGTTCTTGTTCTCTATTAGTTTCGATTAGATATCAAGATGAGAGGGAAACAAGAATGGAAAAAAATCCAAAGAAAAGATGGTTCTGGTTCAGGTTCAGGTTCAGCATCAGGCGGCAGTTCCCTTGCCAAACGCCGTAGACCCGGCACCTGGAGGAGATCAGTTAATTTCGACATCACTCTATGTTGGGGATCTTGATGTTACCGTTACGGATGAGCAACTCTTCCAAATGTTTGGCCAAGTATCCGAGGTTGCCTCAGTAAGGATTTGCCGGGACTTGGCGACGGGCCGCTCCCTTGGCTATGGATACGTCAACTATAGCAATCCACGAGATGGTTAGTCTTCTGATTGACTATGAAACATTTGATCTTTATGATTAATCGATATAAGGTTCTTTAGAGTCAATTGGTAATCACGTTGATCAGCTGGAAAAGAAATCGATTTTTATTTATCGATTAACAGTTTGCCTTAATTCAAAATTGAGGAGAATGTACTTTAACTGAAAATTTCTATCTAATTACGATACTAAATGCAAATTATTTGTATCATTGTATCCATGCGACTTGCAGACTTCTTTTGATAGTAAATTGGTTATGTTTTTAAAAGTGTTACTAACTCCCTTTGTGTTGGGCTTTGAATCTGTTACTTAATCTACGTAGTCTGTAGATATAAGAATGTAGCAGTGGAAATTTAAGTTTTGACAATTAGCATTGTACTCTCATCGTCCAATAACTTGATTGGACTTTTTTGTTATAGAGTATTTCTAAAAACTGAAGCTTAACTATTTTTTAACGTTCATGTTTTAGATAATCATCATTTGGGAGCATCAATTCTTTCTTTTGAATTGTTTAAGTTAATTAACATTGCCCGTTTTCTTATTTATGTGTGCAGCGGCTAGGGCACTTGATCTACTTAATTTCACTCCACTGAATAATAAGCCCATTCGAATCATGTATTCTCAGCGTGACCCTAGTCTTCGTAATAGTGGTACTGCAAACATATTTATCAAGGTACTAATTTCGTTTTTGTTTTTCCCATTTGTTTATTTTTCCCTGCATTTTTCCATTTTGATCCCGGTTCTACACCCCTGGAATTTATTCTCCAAAACCAAAAGAAAGGTAATTTTTGTTGGATGTCTTCTGGCCTTTTCAACCTGTTTCCCTTTCCTGTTTAAACACTCCGTGTGCATGCTAAGTTTTGGTACATATATCTATTTGCAACTAATCTATCCTTTGACCTCTCTTTTGTTGCAACTGTCACGTGCATGCATAATTTGCTCCGTTAAAAAAAATGAATAATTGGTCTTTTCTGCCTATCCATACCTGTACTTGTACCTTTAACTTTGATTTGTTTGTTTTGTCTTATCTGCAGAACCTGGATAAGTCTATTGATCACAAGGTGTTGTATGATACGTTTTCTTCATTTGGCAACATTCTGTCTTGCAAGATCTCTACTGATGGTATGGGCCAGTCCAAGGGCTATGGATTTGTACAATTTGACAATGAAGAATCCGCTCAACATGCAATTGATAAATTGAATGGCATGTTGATTAATGACAAGCAGGTTTATGTTGGACATTTCCTTCGTAAGCAGGAAAGAGAGACCACAACGAATAAGACCAAATTCAACAATGTTTATGTGAAAAATCTGTCTGAGTCAATGACAGATAAGGAATTAAAAACAATTTTTGGCGACTATGGTGAAATTACTAGTGCCGTAGTTATGAGGGATGCAGATGGAAAGTCAAAGTGTTTTGGATTTGTTAACTTTGAAAATACTGATGCTGCTGCTAAAGTTGTTGATGCTCTTAATGGAAAGAAATTTGAAGAGAAAGAATGGTATGTTGGAAAAGCCCAGAAAAAGGCAGAAAGAGAGCATGAGCTAAAATCTCGTTTTGAGCAAACTGTGAAGGAAGCTGCTGATAAACTTCAGGGTGTGAATTTATATGTTAAAAACTTAGATGATAGTATTGATGATGAAAAGTTGACAGAACTGTTTTCTGAGTTTGGAAACATTACTTCATGCAAGGTTTGTGAAAGGCTTCTAGATTGTTTGAATATCGATCGTAACATTTGTACACTTGTTTTTCATGGTATTTATTTTATTACCCTTTTTCTCTCAAAATTTTATAGGTTATGCATGACCCTAATGGGATTAGCAAAGGTTCTGGGTTTGTTGCATTTTCAACCCCTGACGAAGCATCTCGTTCTGTAAGTTTGAATTCTTTTTCATTCCTTTAGGCTGCCATCTCAGTATGAGATTATGATCTAATTCATGCTGCAATCTGTCTACAGCTTGCTGAGATGAATCACAAGTTGGTTGTTGGCAAACCACTTTATGTTGTGCTTGTTCAAAGGCAAGAAGAGAGAAGAGCAAGGCTGCAGGTAATTCCTAATATGACCAAGGAGAATGTCTTGGACCATTTTCATTTCACTTCCATTTTGACATTCATCTCTAGTCTTGTTTATTAATAGAATTATGTGACATATATTTGTTATTTCTGAAATTCTTCCATTATGTGACATATATTAAGCGTTTTTGATAGTTCTACAAACTTGTATGTGTTTCTTTTAGTTTTTTTTTTCATTTGTTTTTAAATTTTGTTCAGGGTAAGTTTTCTCAAATGGGACCACTTGGTATCCCCTCTGTGTCTCCTTGTATGCCAATGTATCCTTCTGGCGCCCCTAGTCTTGGCCATCACTATTTATATGGGCAAGCACCTCCAGCTATCATTCCTCCACAAGTAATATATTGTTATTCCTTGTCCATCCTCTTAACTTTGACATGCTTGTTCTCTCTGATGAATTGATGATAATATTTTTTTGTCAAGAATACAAGTTACTGTTCCTCACCATCTGGTTTTAGCCCACCCCATGAATAATTTGGTTTATGCTGTTAGTATAGTGATTGTATCTGTTTTTATTTACAACACTGTTTGCATCTCCTGGAGGATATTTTAATGTGAAAATGTTTGTTTCATTGTGTTATCTATTCTAGGCTGGTTTTGGTTATCAGCAGCAAATAGTTCCTGGAATGGGGCCCCGTGGCCCCCTTGTACCAAATTTCTTTGTTCCCGCGGTACAGCATGGCCAGCGCCCATGGGGACGACAATATGTAGGTCCAGTTCCACAAACTCAGCAACCAATTCCATTAATGCAGCAGCCAGTAAGTTGTATGCCATGTGTAGTAGCCCCCATTTCTGCAATTCTATACTTTACGTCTTTACCTGAAGTCTCTTGTGCTAATTAATTAATTCAACTTGTTCCAGATGCTGGGCAGGGGATCTCGTTATCGGCCAGGTAGTAACATGCCTAAAATTCCAATATCAAGTGTGGGAGGTATGCCCCTTCAGCCTATGCCTCTTAAACCTTTGGCTACGGCCCTTGCAAATGCAACACCTGAAGAGAAAGGATGGTGAGTGATTTTCTGGTTTCTGACTATTTTATTTGATTTTATTATCTTCAAGATATTTAATATTGTCAATTTGACCGGTGATCAGATGCTTGGTGAAAGCTTGTACCCCCTTGTGGAACGACTTGAGCTTGATGCAGCTGCTAAGGTTACAGGCATGCTTTTGGAGATGGACCAAACTGAGGTTTTGCATCTCATTGAGTCACCTGAAGCTTTAAAGGCAAAGGTGGCAGAGGCCATGGAGATGTTGAGGAGTGTTTCTACTCAGGTATAGGGAAATAATCCTGCAGATCAGTTGGCTTCACTATCTCTAAATGATAGAAATGTCTTCTGAATTTTAGTTTTGTAGAGGTTGGAGTTTGGAACATTCATCCATGCTTTTTAGTACTTGCTAGCATTTTTTTTGTTGGGGGGGAGTTTGGCATCTTGCGCATTATCTACAGGATTGTTATTCGTTACGTTAAGTTTGTTTGGTGTCATTGAAACCTATTTTCTTAGAATAAATTGGTTCACATTACTTTTATGACAACAAAAAAAACAGTCGGCGTTAAGGTAACGATTCTTTCCCTGAAAACATTAGAAGGGTTCTCTAAGCCGTGCAAAGTGGGGTTAGGATCCTATCTTTTTCAGTATATTCATCATTACAAGTTCATTTTAGTGTTTAAGAATCAAATGTCAAGATATACCATTGATTACTTTGATGATTAGATAGAAAATTACCATAAGCCAGTTTCATGTGCACGAAACAGCTAGGATGCTTAAAGAAAACCCCCACCTCATTTACTCCATGTTGATTGCAACAATATCCCAGGAGCCAAAATTAACCTACGCAAATATCCATATATCGGTGTGCGACATTGTTTCCCCAACTTATGTTTCAATGGGTGTTCAATTGTTCTTCGACCATCATAGAGTAATCAACTATGGTTCCATTCTGGTTAAGGAGCTGGTAGATGTTGTGTTCATAGTTTGTTCTATGAACCATGGTTTTGGCAGTTGGCCCTCCTCATAGAGTAATCAAGTTTGTTTTCTTTCTAAGGTAAACTCTATCTTTGAAATTATGAGAATGAATTTTGTAAGAGTACTGAAAGAGTGTTTTGAGATGCACTAAATCTTGAGATATATACCGGTCCATGGGATACAAGAGAATTATATGTATTTTTGCTTTTTGTGGTCTTTATATTTTAGTGGATTTTAGTTCTCTTGTTCATGGAGATATACAAGTTCGAATCACGTTAAATCTCATATCTTGTGTGTAGAGTTTCTATATTAATCTCGTGTTGTTTTTCTTTTTCGCTTTTAAATTTTTAACATGTGGCATTATGAGTTATGGTTCGAGTTATTGAAGGAATTGTTTTTATGAATTTTGTTAGGGATATTAAATATAAGCAAGATGAATTATGTACAAGAGTTTTACAGTAACAATAATTCTCAATTGTTTTCCTACATAACTAAATACTCACCCTAATTGTACCTATGAATCCTTAAGCCCTTGGCTTTATAATAATTAATCTATTTGAAGTACACCCTGGTTTAAAGGCTTTTCAGGTAACTTGAGAAAGAAAAGCCCGCTTCTCCTTTAGTTTGGATTTGGACAAAATTTAAAGTTTGGGCCCGATTATCTATTTAAACCTTAAGTTCAAATACCAATTTCTAGAGTAAAAGTATTATAGCAGTACCTATCCTACGCTGTAGATTGCATTTTGGTCCCTACACCGAGAAAAAAGACAAAATGGTCCTTGTACGTTTTGAATACAAACAAAATAATCCTTCTGTTAAACATTTCGGTCCGCTTATGCTTCCGCCCGCCGATGTTGAATTTTATTTAGTCAATTATCTTCATTTAAATCTCCAAAATTTTTCCTCTAATCCAATCACCTTTATTAAAACACGTGAATTAAATTAAAGACAATCAATTAAAGGATTCAATGTTGCCTACAAGCTATTTACTTGGCCGTACCATCATTCATCTATTCCTTTCAACAATATAAAAAACTTGGCCAATTTCATTGTAGGCAAAGTTGGTTTCTTGAAGGTTTTGTAATGAAAGGACAATGACCGGATATTATTGATTGCGAACTTGAAAATATATCTGCTTTTTTTCTCTTGTTTTCCCTTTTACTCATTTAGTCATTGTCTTGCTTAGTCCCGCAGCGAAGAATCCTAATAAGAAGTTTCTTCCAGAAATTATGTTGCCATGCGTGTTAGCTTCATTGTTTTCTTTCTATTGTCCTTGCTTGGAAACCCTCTTGTGAATTCACTTACGCCAAGCCAAGATATTTATCAATAACATTAGCTTCTCAAAATTTTTAGAGCTAAAAGATATATATATGGATATTAAATGACTCGTACTTAACACTTTTCTTAAGTCAATATATACAGAGAAAAATCTTTAACAGGGTAAAGTACATAAATGATCCTTGTTCGTAGGGCGTAGTTTTGTTGAGTCCCTCGACTACTAAAAGTTATAAAAACACTATTTTATTGAGTCTCTTGATTATTAAAAGTTACAAAAGAGTCCCCCGATTATAGGGTGTTGTTTGTTGAGTCCCTTGATTATTACAAGCTACAAAATAGTCACCCAACTATTCATACATTCCAAACTCGTCCTTTTCGTTAAAAAAATTGATAACAATATGAGCTTAAAGTTAATATGTTGACTGAGATATTATAGTCGTTTGGGATCTTGAGATCATATTTTATCATGAAACAATTAGAAGGTTAATGTCTAGCTGAGACTTTAGTTAATTTTTAACAGAAAAATACGAGTTTAAAACATATGAATAGTCGGATGATCATTTTGTAACTTTTAAAAATCGAGAGAATCAATAAAGTAATGTTCAATAATCAACGGACCATTTCATAATTGTTAATGATCAGAGAACTCAACAAAATAATATCCTATGGTCGGAACACCATTTGTGTATTTTACCCTTAGAATTAATGGTAGAAGTGATGAAAATAATGAGGACCACAAGCAACAGGTGTCTCTGTTATGGTGAATAAAAGCCAAGGAAAATGCTGACACTGAAAGCTTGGTGCGTTGATCCCATGATAACCATTAATCATTATTACATATTTATTACTATTTGCTAACGCGTTTAACTCCAAATTTATGCCTTCTAATCACTAAACATGACCCGTGCCAATGATGTCTAAGCTGAACCAATTTCTTCTTCTTCCAACACGAAAAGAAATCTTGATGATTTGTATTAATAATTTATTATCTATTTTTGAAATTTAAAAATAAATATTTAATATATTGATTGTGTATTATTTTATATATTAATAATGAAATATATTATTAGTATATCAAGTGATATTATATCGTAAAGAATGGATTTAAAATAATTTAGTTTATTATGATAAAGTGCCATCATCCAATTCACTGACGATATGAAATAATATACACTATTAATATAATAAATATTAATTCAAAAGGATCAGATAAGGAGATAATCCACGACCACTAAATTAGATTTTCTTTTTCTTTTCCTCTATTGCAAATGCAATTTCCCACAAATTCACAAGTCACAACCCCCATAAAAAGCCAAAAAATGTTGAGTGATATAGGATTTGTTCTGTTGTGAGCTCGCACATGGTGGGCTCTAGGACCTTCAATCATGTAATTCTTTTCCTTTTATTGTAGGTACATAGCCAATTTACCCCATCTTTTTTTAAGAACTAGAAGGCACAAAAAAGGTAATTGTAATATTTTTCAAAACTCCATCTTTTTGTTGAACTAGAAGACGTTTTTTGCATTGCTATAATAAAAATATATTTAAATAATACAAAGATGAATATAATAAAAAAAGTTAACCTCTTTCAAAATTTGATTAATATAGAAATAAAATATTATTTAAAGTGTTATAAGATATCTGTCCTTTTATTTGCATTGTTACCTTCGTGGAAGGAAGAAATCAACAGGCAGAGATGCCCAAAGTTGATTAATCATTCGGGAACGTAATGGCGCAGTGGATAGGCAACAATATCTTCGTCTTTTTGTATCCTTCAGTAGTGCTATGCGGTCCTTTCCTTTCAGAGGTAAAAGATTAGCTGCCATCAATCTTTAAGTCAATCTATAAATTTGGCTTGATTAACAAGGACAAGGAAACTTGACGATCAAAATGAACGGTGTTGATCAAATTGAGATACCTAGGTAGATGATAGATGACGACGGAGCATCAACCTCAATACATTCTGGTCAACCTAGTCTACCGTAGGGAAATATTTAGTGGAAGACATAAATTAAATGAATTGTTATTATTTATTGAAATTTTAAATTTAAATATTACGTGTATATAGGAGTAAGAGTATTTATTATCGAATGTTATTTTATATTTATCTCATATTTATAAAAGAAAAATATTTAACCGGAGATTTGAGAGTTCAGAATTAGAGTTCCCTTAATTGGATTCCATTCCCTACAAGTTGAAAGACTTTTTATAGCAAAAACTTCAGTTCCCACGCTTCCCAATTCCCTATATAAGCTTGCCGAATCCATGGAAGTACTCGAAGAAAAATCACTCATCATTTCTTCACCATGACCAAGAACCTGTATGTATGGGTTTCTTTTACCATCTTATCTACCTTCATCAAGCTAGCAAAAGCTGACAATTATATTGTCCATATGGAGCCGTCGGCCATGCCCAAAGCCTTCTCTAACCAGCAAAGCTGGTACTTGTCCACTCTCTCATCTGTATCACCCAAATCCAGAGCTAAAACCAACATTAATCTCCCTTTCTCTAAACTCATCTATACTTACAACCATGTTATTCAAGGTTTCAGTGCAGTTCTCACACCTGCAGAGCTTGAGGTCTTGAAGAATTCACAAGGCTATGTCTCTTCTGTTAAAGATAGAGCTGTGAAAGTCGATACCACCCATTCTTTCGAGTTTCTTGGCTTGAATTCCGGTACCGGTGCTTGGCCGGTGTCGAATTTCGGAAAGGATGTCATTATCGGGGTGATTGATACTGGGGTTTGGCCTGAAAGTGAAAGCTTTAATGATAATGGGATGAGTGATGTTCCACCGAGATGGAAAGGAGCATGTGAAAGTGGCACCCAATTCAATTCCTCATTATGCAACAAAAAGCTCATTGGTGCTCGGTCTTTCAATAAAGGTCTGATTGCGCACAATCCCAATATAACAATCTCGATGAATTCTCCGAGGGACACTGAAGGACACGGCACCCACACTTCGTCAACTGCTGCTGGAACTTACGTCGAAGATGCATCCTACTTTGGCTATGCTCTGGGAACTGCAAGAGGAATGGCCCCAGGTGCTCGTGTGGCCATGTATAAGGCTCTGTGGGAAGAAGGAGCTTACACCACAGATATAATTGCAGCCATTGATCAAGCCATTGATGATGGTGTCGATGTTCTTTCCATGTCATTAGGCTTGGATGAACTTGAATTGTATGAAGACCCCATTGCAATAGCCACATTTTCCGCCATAGAGAAGAACATTTTCGTTTCCACGTCTGCAGGAAATGAAGGACCAGATATGGAGACACTACACAACGGAACACCTTGGGTTCTAACCGTGGCGGCCGGCACGATGGACCGAGACTTTGGTGCAACGTTGAATCTCGGTGGCAAAGGGTCAGTCATTGGTATGGCTCAATATCCAGGGAATTTCTCTTCAAGCGAATTCTCAATTGTTTTCATGGACGCATGTGGTAACACAACTGATCTGAGGAAAATCAAGCAGAAGATCGTTGTGTGCCAAGATCCAGGCAAGGAAGATTCCCTCAGTGACCAGTTTAACAAAGTTCAAGTTGCGGGAAACATCGCCGGCGTCTTCATAACGAATAACAGTAACGTGGATATATTCGTCCAAAGCCCATTTCCAGCCATTTTCTTGGAACAAAAAGATGGTGATGCAGTTGTGGAGTTCATTAAGACCAACACTGACCCAAAAGCCAGCATTGAATTTAAAAAAACAAT